AGAATGCATAGGAAAAGGGTTTCTTGGTTCTCAAATTATTGACTGCCTTTTTAAAAACGTCCTTTCTTTGTTTGAGAGCTTGGAGAATGTTACATCTCTGCTTCTCAACCACCAATTTGTACGCAAGTTTGACATCAGTGAGGTTATTTTCTGTCATTCATAAACTCCTTTGTACGAGAAGAATTCTTCCCCCACTTGGATTTTTGGAGTGCTTTGCGAACTCTCTCTATACTCTGAGTTATCAGTAATGAGTGGAGAAGCTTTTGCAGGCCTGGAAAATTGTTGACAGAGAATCCGGATCCGTTAAGGAATCTTGGAATGAGCCCAACTCAAAATTGGAGATCTTAGCATTATTCGAATCAAGGGCATCATTATAACCTTTCAAGTTAAACTTAACATTATCAAATTTAGATTGAAAACAAGGAAGAGGAGCGCAATTAAATAAAGGCAACTCGACACACAACATCTTATGTTGCAGGAACATTTCAACATCCCAAAGTCGGCTAGGAGCATGGAATGAGGAAATGATATGATCAGGTCTAGTAAGGTACGGACGGTCCGATCCTCTACTAAGCTTGAATGAGGGACGAGTAGGAGTGGGCGTGAGATCTGATAGATTATACAGCTCCAGCCAGTCTTTGAGAATTTTGGCCTTTTTCTTAATCTTACCATACAGTGTGTTGATATTGAGGTCACCTAGGATTACAATATGCTCGTTATGAAACATGCACTCATCTATCAACTCACTTAATCGGTTCAGTAACTTATTAAATGGACCACCAGTTTTATGATATCCATACCAATTAATCACATTGACTAATCCGTGATCACACTCAAGGACTGACAAACGACCTTGAATTATTTCCTCAAAAGAAATAATCTTTCTTTGAAGAGTTCCTTTAACTATTGTGATAATACCAGCAGATTTGTCTTTGGGATCAGCATGGGAAGCATAAACTTTGCATGGAGAAAAAAACTTTGCGCATTTAGTGATGTTATCCTTAATCTCATCAGGTTTCCAATGAGATTCTTGGATGCAGGCAATATCAAGTCTCTCTTGCTTGATAAGGCCAAGGAGAATGGCTTGCTTGTCTATGGAGAATGAGGAGAGATTACAAGAAGCCATTTGAGTTCCTCTCACTATTGGTCGTCGTCAGAAAGATCAGCCTTCTTCGAGCTGCCCTTATTGGCACTCGGAGAGGTATGATCCTTCTTTGAGACCTTTTTACGCTTCAAATCATCACCTGAGTTCGGCTTATTCAAAGTACACACTTCATCAATCCTGTTTTCAACTCCCTTAATGAAAGAGAGGTGTTTTTTGAGTTCAAGACTGTGTCTATCAATAGTCGGACAAATAACTTCATCTATGCATTTTTGTTGAGATTGATTTGTCTTCTCTACAGCATTATTAGAGCTGTCCAATTTTGAAATTTTAGATTGGAACTCTGTGTGTTCAGTTGAGTTAGTGGAAGACATTTTCAACAATTCATCCTTGAGTGAGTCAACACTCTTTGTGAGATCATCAAAGACCTTAAAGAGTTTTGTTGTTTTGTCACTCAAATCACTGAGTTGAGCTGGTTGGCTCTTTGAGAACACTGCTTCCTTATTTAAATTAGCAGTAATAGTATTAAGGTTCTCTAATTCAGTGGATAACTTTGCCACATTGGAGGTGAGATTAGCAACATCGGTTTTAAGTGAGGAATTTTCAAGAGATAGTTCATTAATTCTCTTTTCAAAATCCTTCTTGAGGTTGTTAAAGTCATCCTTTGAGACAAGGTTATCAAGTACCTTAGGATCGATACTACCACCAGAAGAAGTAGGGATCATTGTGGAACATTTTTGTTGGATCAGCTCCGTAACTTTGGTCAAAAGTGTCGGCTTACCTAATCTTGGATTAAATGATAAGTTTTGAATAGTAACTGAGTTCACATAAAGTACTTTGGAGACAGAAGCATTTACAAGGTGGTCCTTTTTAATTTCTGCTTGTATTAAATTACCAAGGCCGTTGACTTGGATATGTTCTGAAGGAACTTTCCAAGTAGTTGAAATGCTTTGTTTCAATTCCTTCCAGTCAACAGTGGCATCTGGATGCCACTTAAGTCTAAATGTTGTCACGGAAGTGTCAATTTCTGAAAGAAAATCGGGTTTATTATCAACAACTGCATCCTTAGTAGATACAGCCCAGAACCGAGTAGAAGGAGTATAATTCATACCAACAATATCAGGAATATGTTCAAGCACCTTACTTAAAGATTCACACCCAAAATCAAGCTTAATTTGGTATTTCACTGAAGCATGCACTCTTTGCAGAAACATGTATCCAACCTTATTAGGGATGGTAGACCATGCATTAACGGCTTCTAGAGCATAGTTGTGAGTTACAAAATAAGCAAATGCAACATCCTTGTGATCATTAGGGATTTGAATGCCATGTACTTGATTAGCAGCAA